TCTTTCCCTCTCGCTCGTTGTCTTCTGCAATTTATTTCCACAGTGACCGTGATCCGATTGCAATTGGCGAAAGTTGATCTCCGTCTGTTCTCTCGTATATATGTATATATATACACACTATATATACTGCCTATTTATACATACGTACCTTTTTCTTACTGGAAACGCCAAAAAAGCGACTCAGGCTTGGAGAGCGAGATGAAATCTTCGTGGTAACCCGTCGTGACGGATGAAACGGATTAGGGAGGAGGGGGCGGGAAGCAGCCGCATGTATCCGTGCGTGTATCGGTGAAAAGGAACAACACACACAATGTCATCGTCCGTCTACCTCGTCGAACCGGGCACGCGTCCGCGCGCGCGCGCACAATAATTCGCTTAAATCACGGACGTTCCACTCGCGTACGACCTTGTTCGAGCGCCGTGTGTAAAAAAAATGCAGCGACGCTGAGACGTGTATGCGGTTCCCGCCTCCAGTATCCATATCACTTTTGCGCGTGTGTGTACGCCTCCTCTGTCTTTCCTCCACCTTCCTTCTTTCTCGTTCCTGAACTCCCAAACGTAGAGCGATGTCTTCTCCCTTTCGAGATCTTGTTCTCTAAATCCGTTGATCGCGACGCGGCCCTCTCGGATATTCCTCGCGTTCTTTATCTTTTTCTAGAGATAAAGTTCTTTCTTCGGGGAGAATGTTTGCGTCCCCGCGGCCGGCGATCGCCTGAAAATATCGCGATCCGCTGCTACTCCTCTTCTCTTCACATCGCGCCAAACCTCCGCGAGAGCGACAACTTCAAGCGTCGTGAACGTTGTCAAGTCAACGAACGGGGTATGACGTATGACGTCTTCGCAGCCAACTTTGCGCCTCCCACTATCGTCGCCGATATCAACTATCAACTTGTTATTACGGGATCAATGATCTCATTATCCTGACAACATATGCATCCAGGAGACGATCGCGAGCGTTTTTTTTTTTTTTGTTCTTTTTTTTTGCACGTTCGCCTCGATAACAGAAGTAGGTCGGACAAACGTGACTCACCGTGTCGGCGACTCGCGGGACGACGACGCGTTTCTCGACGGAATTTCCGTCCTCTCGTCTACGGTCCGTCTTGTCGCGATATCCATCCGAGGACTCGACTCCGACGCCGCGGATCGATAACGGAATCGATAATGGAGTCACTGCGCCGGATCCACGACGACAGTTGAATTTCGGGAAGTACGCCGTGAGCGACGCGCTCGCGAGACGCGCGCGAGAGATACTCGCCCCCTTCGCTCGGCGATTCGCTCGTCTCGCTCCCCCTTTCTCTCTACTTCGTGCTCTCTATCTCTCTCTCTTTCTCGTGTCAACTTTTTTCTCGCTCCCTCTCTCTTTGTCCGTCGAGTTTTCTTCGCTCTTTCTCACGTCCTTCCCCCTTCTTACATACCCTTTGCTTTTTCCCTTCTTATATATCGATATTTTTTTTCTGTATTTTTCTGTCGTCGCACGGAAAACGCGCATGCCACGTAACCGATGTACGAGTACAAGAAGAGTACTTCACGGTGCCCGCGTAAGGCACGCACTGAGGAAGAACGAGCCGCCGCGACGAACGGTTGCGAGACTGTACATTCACCCATTCACGCACCTACACGCACGCACGCGCGCGCGGAGAGGGGGAGAGGGTGGATGGAGCGGGTCCGGTCTATTGTAGAGAAAGGGAGATAGTTAAGGGCGCGAGAAAGGGACGCGACGAACGGAGGGGGCAGAAGAATTGAGGCGAAGGAAAGGTATTGTAAGATTCAAAGGATACGTAAGCGAGTTGCCTCCTAGGGGACCTTCCTCTCAGCTGGCAACCGCTTTGCCGCAGAGCCGCACACCGTTCAATGCCATCGTATTCTCTTCGTTGAATATTCTTCTTTGAATCTTACAGTACATAAGGCGAAGATTCGTCGAAACTATACAATACATAATCCTTCGCAATCCCGAGAGTTGTTTATAATATAATGGAAATGATCGCTTGGATAGTATAATTAGAATCGTCAAGTCACACGTCTATCGTTCCGTTTTCCAGCCTCCTTATTGCAAGAAAAAGAAAAATGAGGAGTAGCAGAACATGCGATAGAAAGAGAGAGAAAGAGAGATGCGGCGGAACAAACGCAAAGTTGGACATGGAAGCATTAAGATTGGTCGAACTGATTACCGTTTGTGAACCGTTACAAACGTTTCTGGGTCTCAGATGCTTATTAGATACTATTTATAGATGCTGTCAAGTCTTTTTAAACGAAGATTTCAAATTCATGAGACGTAATCTCGATTGAAAAATAGATTTAGGCATAATTTTACGATATGTAATAAGAAAATTAATAAAATCGATAATGATTTTGATTAAATTTGATCTTCTTATACTAACATGTTTATATATCTTTCCTTAAAGTTAATTCATCGAGTCTCCTTGTTAACAAGTCAGTATCTAATCGGTGCTTGCATAGATATCGATCCTCTAAGAAAAGAACTGGTATATCGTACTTATACAATTCAAAATATCGCTCGTTATCCTGCGCAGTGATGTCGACTTCTTGTAATTGATAACGACCGGCGAAACGCAAACGCAGCTCATTCTTTAGTATGTCGCAAAGTGGACAGGGACTTTTCGTATATAATGTTAATTTTGGCGGGGAAGATACTGGATGACACCTAAAAATTATATAATATGTTCTTCTTTCTTTGAGAAATATTTTTAACATATTATATGGTGACATTTAATTTAACCGTCAATAAAATCGATCATATACATACTGTGTCAATGTATAAAAAAGTTTATTTCTACATAAAATATATAACACACAAGGAGATAAGCAGCAATACAGAAAAGGTACACAGAGTAAGAAAATATATTTTTTTATGCTTTCCTATATTGCTTCTTTCTACTTAAAAGTTATATATTTTATATACCTATAAATGTACATATATTTCAGTAGAAAAATTGCAAAATGCGTTATTATATGTAATTACATTTATATAAACATGAAAAGCTGTGAAAAAACGCTCTTCACTATTGTTTCAACAGTTGCTATAACATTACTTTAACAGTATACATTTCGTAGTATAAAAATAATATTTTTTTATATACAATTTAATTTATATCTAATGATAGATTGCACAGTATCTCATAGTTCATGTGAATTGAAACAGCAGCTATGACTGCAATTTGCAAACTTACAATTTCTCGATCAAGATCGATGATGCACCGCCACCTCCATTGCAAATTGATGCAACACCTTTCTCTCCAGCTTTAAGAGCGTGTACCAAATGTACTACAATACGTGCTCCTGACATACTATAAGATTTATATTTATTATCAATAATTAATATATTAATTTTAACAATATAGAATAAGGCAGAATAAAAGAATCTTAAACACTATTCAGATAACTTACCCTATGGGATGTCCAAGCGAAACAGCACCACCATGAACGTTTATTTTAGTGGGATCAATGTCGAGTAATTTTTGATTTGCTACAGCCACTACACTGAATGCTTCATTGATTTCCCAAAGAGCTATGTCGTTTTTATTAACTCCAGCATTTTGAAGCAGCTAAAACATTATGTAAAAAGTTTATATTGTTGCAATTCCAAAATTCAGTCGTTAACCAATAGATGACTTACCGATGGCACAGCAAATGCCGGCGCGATCGGAAAATCTATAGGATCCGTTGCCGCATCTTGAAAAGCAACAACTTTAGCCAGAGGCTTGAGATTCAGTCTTTGAGCGACTTCGCTAGTCGTTAAAATTAATGCAGCAGCACCATCATTTAGAGTGGATGCATTTCCAGCTGTCACTGTACCATTTTCTTTCTGTACATGTAGCAAACATAAAGATGTGACAATAGAAAAAACAAACATTATCAATATGAATAAACTGTTTATTGTATGTTTTACTAATCCAAATGTTACCTGGAAAACTGTGTTTAAATTGCCAAACTTCTCAAAGTTGACTCTTTTATACTCTTCATCCTCCATGAAAATTACATCTGGCTTGCCTTTTTTTTGAGGCACACTCACAGGTACAAGTTCATCTTTAAATACATTATTTTCGTAAGCTGCAGCACTGCGTTTGTAACTACTGATAGCATATTCGTCTTGTTGTTGACGAGTGATGTTCAATTTCTTAGCTGTGTTTTCAGCACAGTTACCCATGTGACATTTATTGTATACATCAGTCAATCCATCAAATACAATACCATCCTATTAAAAAAATTGCACGTTATTAATTATTTATATGTAAAGATATAAATGTTTTCATATATACAATATGTACAGCAAATGAAGTAATGAAAAATAGACAAAAGGAATATAATTCAACCTGAAGTTTCACTCCGCCATATGGCGTTTCACCACGTGCCAAGTAATATGGCACATTAGACATAGATTCCATACCACCAGCTAGAATAATTTCTTGATGACCACACTGTAGAGATTGAGAGGCCAGCATAATACTTTTCATGCCACTTGCGCAAACTTTATTCACTGTAGTACATATCGTTGACTTTGGAAGACCTAATAACATTAATTTTATATTACACATACTACAATAAATTAAATTATATATATTTTTTGTCAATATTCCATCAAAGGGCTATCTCATTATTATCATTATTATTATTGTAAACATTTATTAAATGCAAAATATTAATTGTAAGAGGAAAATATACATTTTCAAGACCTGCAAATAATGCAGCTTGTCTCGCTGGTGCTTGACCCAAGAAACCTTGGCAGACATTACCCATATATATTTCTTTGACTTGTTCTTTGGCAATACCAGCTCTTTCAACAGCCGCCTAAAACAACAAAAGATATATATATTTATTAGTCATAGGTTGTAATATTTATAATTAATATATAAATTCCAAAACATATTGATAGTAGTATTTAATATCAAAATCCTTACTTGCACAGCTACTGCACCAAGTTTAGTGGCTGACACATTTGATAAGGACCCAAGAAATGAGCCCATTGGAGTACGCACAGCACTGACTATTACAACATCATTTAAATTGACTTTGGAACTGTACAAACGCCTGCTTATAAAATTTACCTAAGAAAAAGTTATTCTTAAGGTACATCTGTTGGTCTTATAATACAAAAATGAATCATAAAAAAATCATAAATATATGAAATAAGTATGATTCATACTCTCGATTAATCATTAATAAGTTTCACTTTAGCCAATCTAATTATTGTTATAATATAAAGCACAGGTTAAATACATAAAATGTAGCACAATATAACCATGTTTTAGAAAAGGATTAAACGTATGATTAAACATATATTAAATGTATGATTGTGATATTTAATCAATTAAAAGTAACTTACTTTAGCTAATCTCGTTATTGTCGCCATTGTAAACAATATTTTATGGAAAATGAAAAATGCACTCTGTGCGACGAGTAGCCACTGTACAAAGATCAACCGGCAGCAAGATGGTGTTCAATGTCAATGACGTATCTAATCTTATTTATTTCACGCAAATATAAATATCATTTGACGCTTCTCATTTTCCTTCTATGCATTTCTCAAAAAGTTACAATATTTCTTTTTTGTGTTCTTTAAAGACAATGATAATATTCATTTATTTTTATGCTATGATTAAAAAATTATATTATACATTTACAGCATTAATGAAAAGATTGCAAATGCAACATTTTTTCGAAATTATTTTTTAAACTTGTTATATAAAAAAATAATAAATTAAAAATATGGAAATAAAATACACATGACATTTATATACATATGTATATAAAAAACTGATAATCATGCGTTGTCACATATGATAGCAGCGCATGCGCAAAAATTTATATGTGTGTGATCATACAATACATTCATACTGATTCATACTGACAATCCGTGAAATAACAGTCGCATAAATAAGAGAGATAAACCAAGCAAGTCTAATAACGATAAGATAATCGGAAGACCTGGATAGGGACAGTTCTGGTCGCTGGATTCGATCTGACCCATGTCATCTCGCATATATTAAGGTTAATTCGCGTGGAAATATAGTGTGATAAGAACGCAAGATCCCGCGAGAGTGGAGAATAATACTTTATTATTGTGTGTGAATAGAAAAACGTAATACGACGTCCCGTAGAGGATGGGAAAGAAATTCAATGAAGCGACCTATATCTAAGCAAGATGTGTCATTAGACGGGAAGATGATCTTCGCATCATCGCTTAATCATCGATAGTCTGCTGAAGAAGTTCATTCAGAATTATCTAAATAAATTTAATTCAAGATGAACGTCGAGGAAAAGAGACTCGCGACGTTTCGCGAATGGCCGTCAAACGCCGCGATCGGCGCGTCGTGTCTCGCGAAGGCGGGGTTTTACTACACCGGACGTTGCCTGGAGGTACAGTGTTTTTTATGCGGCACGATGATATCGGACTGGAATTACGGTGATCAAGCGATGGCTCGTCATCGACGGACAGCGCCCAATTGTCCCTTCGTCGTCGATCCTGCTGGGACGTGCAACGTCCCGTTGATCCCGACGACAGCTAGCGTCGCATTGGAATCGACGAACACGACGTCGTCGAGCACACGACGATCTGACAGCGTCGAGGGTCCGGAACAGCTGCTGTCATTTGTAACGCCGAGGCTGTCCAATCCTCTAACTCTAAGAAAATACGAAACTATCTCGCAAAGGCTGCAGACATTTGACAATTGGCCGCTAACTTCTATCATTCGTCCGGAACAGCTGGCTGCAGCGGGATTTTATTATCTTCAGTATAAAGATTTGGTAAAGAAACTGAAAGATTTGACATATATTATTGATACTGCTATAATAATATTGCTAATTTGAGTTATTTTTGTAAAATGATAATAAAGAATAGGATTTTCTATATGTCATTTAATAGTATTATATATATATATATATATATATATATATATATATATATATCTTCGTTTTCGCATAACATTTTGTACAAATAACAGGTGGAATGTGCATTTTGCAAAGGTATTCTAATGAATTGGAAAGCTGGCGACGATCCAGAGCATGCCCATAAATTAAATTTTCCTAATTGTGATTTCTATATGAGAGAAACAGAAGATGGTACATTAATATTTCATAATAACAATTATAAGAGAATCATGAATATTCAGTTTTACTTTGAAAACTAAATGTATAATACTATACTTGTATATATTCATGCAATTATTAATTAAATAATTTTGTCTTAATAGATGATGCATTTGGATTAGTCAGAGTCTTATCTGGCACTAGCACAGATTTAACAGAATTAGGAATACAAATGCATACAGTATCTATATCGCAATATACAACATATGAAAAAAGATTGCAGACTTTTCAAAACTGGCCAAAAAATCTTAAACAAACTCCAGAGACATTAGCTGCTGCTGGATTCTATTATCAAGGTCAGAGAGAGAATTATTTGGTTTTTTACATACATACTACAACATTGGTGAAATGTTTGTTGCTAATCTTATTATGCATTTGGTACATAGGGTTCGACGACCAAGTCAGATGCTTCCATTGTGATGGAGGATTACATGGTTGGCAACCAACAGATAATGTATGGATTGAGCATGCATACTGGTTTCCAAATTGCGGCTTTGTAATCCTTATGCGTGGTCACAAATTTATCAAATATAGTATAGATACAAGAGGATCTTTAAATCTTTCGGTAACCATCATATTACTTTTCCTACAATTTTATCAATTAATTTTAAGATAGTGTAAGATATATATACATATACTTACACTATCTCTAAATATATATATGTATATTTTTTTTATAAATTTTGTTTATTATATATATAGATTTTTGCTGGTGTATCAGGAGAAAACAACGCCATAGAAACTTCTGTTGCATCTCTTCCCACAGTACAACTTAATGAAGCATTAACAGATACAAGAATGTCTATAGCAGATGTAATAGAAACTTCAGTTACTTCCAGTTCCTCGATTATACAATCTAGTGAACCAATAACAGATACTGTGACATCTACGACAAACATCATAGATAATACAATTATTTCCAGTCCCTCGGTTTCACAACCTAGCGAACCAATAACAGATACAGTGGCACTACCTATGGCAGGTGTCACAGATGCTGTTACTTCTGTTCCCACAATTTTGCCTTCTAGCAAGCCGATAACAGATATAACAGTTAAAAGGTTATTAGATACTGCTCCAGCTAAGGTAAATAGAACGATCTGATTAATATTAAATGATCTATTTAATATTTGTACTAAACTTCTTTGATATTATGTCAGTTTGAGATGTATAAATGTAATCGATGTGTAACTTTGTGTATAGGCTGCTCTTGAAATTGGGCTACATGTAGACAGAGTAACGAGAGCTCTGAAGAGAAGAATGGAAGAAGTTGGCGAACCTTATATAAATGTTACACAGCTCATAGAGGCTGTTCTACATGATCAACTTATGGAAGACCATACTAGGTATGTCAGATATAGCACGTGGCATATGTTGTACACGATTAAAAATGCTTATATCATTGAATCATAACTAAGAAACGCATCTCTTTCTTCAGACTTGATAATCATACTCCTACTTCATCATCTTTGGAATTGAAGACTTTATTTAATCAAGTTATGCAATCGGTTAAAAATTCTACAAGTAAGAAAACTACACAAGTATCTAACGCAGCTGAAAGCAAACATGATAAGAAAGAAACTGATAATGAGTCAGATGACATTAGTAAGTAATATATATTTCATGATTTGATGCAATAAAAACAGATTTTATTCGATTTTTATCCATACTGACACAATATCACATTTTCTATGTATTTTTATTTATAGTAAAAGTTTAGCACTTTGTTGACCATTCTATAACAATGAGTTTATATTCAACTTCAACCTCTCTCTATGCAGTAAAGTCGTGAAACAAACTCGGATTGTCATGTAATTGCTTTATCGCTAAACAACTTCTATAAAATCTATTATGTGTCATTTTTCTTCGAACTATTTTCATCCTTATCATACACTAGATATCACAGCTTAAACTGTACCTTTTAATTTTATTAACACAAACTCATTGTTGAGCTCATAGTTGTTTTCAACTTTTCTTTGTTTAAGAGATATGTAAAGCTCTCGAATATTATTCTAAATCATATTTATATGTAATCAAATTTCTTAGGAAGGAGATATGGATACATATAACTCATATTAAGTATTTAGTTTGTATTTATTTTCTTTCAGTGTCTTTGCGAGAGGAGAATAGAAAATTGAAGGAGGCTCGTTTATGCAAGATTTGTATGGACAATGAATTAGCTATAGTATTTTTACCTTGTGGCCATTTAGCGACGTGCGACAACTGTATACCAGCCCTAACGACCTGTCCATTGTGCAGACTAAAGATTCGCGCTTATGTTCGTATCTTCTTGTCTTAAATATGAAATATAAGATTTGAAAGATCTGAAAAAATGTGACAAATATTAAATGAGGACATCAATTGATGTTTCTATTTAGACATATGATGCTGCATTTTACATAAAATATATATTATGTATATATTTTGCAAATATCTCTATATATCAATTTTATTTTTTGAAAATGTGTACAAAAAATACGAAGAAATGTATATATATATTTATTTACACATATTTAATTATAGAGACGATAATTGCAGCTGATTATATTGATTTGATCAATAGCCTTTAATAATTATTTATTTTCATTGTGCTATCAACAATTTTTACAGATGAAAGCTGTTATTGTTGATATTGCAGAATATTGTTCTATTATTGCATTGTTTATTGGTTTGAAAATTATATCTGCAATAATATATAAACAAATCAAGTATGTAATAATTAAAAAATATAAGTAGAGCAATAAAAACATCAGTCGACATTAATAATTTTTAACTTAACCATAAGTTACAAAACAAATCATAGATGTGACATTTTTTTTATTGTGATCTTATGTTGAAATTAAAATGATATTACTTGAAATAAGTTATCAGAACATGTACAAAAGAAACACATTCTTGTGTTTAATACTGATGTATCCCTGTATATATGTTGTAACGTGATAAAAGAAGTCTATATAAAGTTAGTGTCTTATAGTTTATATATATCAGCGATATAAAATATCCCCTCAAAGCTAAGAAATCAATATTGTGTCTGTCTGAATACAAGAGTCGTGAATTTGTAATCATATAAGAGAAAGAAAAAGAGAACACAAAAGTAAAATTTTTAATAATCTTATAAAGAGGCAAATTTTTCAACAAAGAGAGAAACATATTTTCCAACAAAGAGAGAAACATATTTCTCATAATATATTTCTCTTGTATAATTAATTTTTACAACAAACAATATGAAACATTTCTTTCTATTTTATTAATTAATTCAGCTTCAAATTAAATGTCTATGGAAACAAACACAGTTTTACATTATCCTTTCCCAAAATTTGTGCTTATTGTTACACAAAAAAAATTTTTTCATTGCATTAAATAATTTTCACATTAATTTTAAAATTGTCCGTCATGTATAGCATACTTTAAATTTCTTAATATCTCCCAACAACCCCTATGAGACCAGTTCGATGGACCAAGGCTACATATCGACATCAGCCTTGGTATCATCCCTCCTTTTTCAACCTATTTATGCCTATGATTATCGGGGCTATATGCGTAGAAGCTTTATGCATATTTAATATCGGACAGATACTGATTCATGGATAAGGACAACTAACTCTCTGAATCGCTCTTTTCCTCGCCCATGCGAAACGAAACATGTTAATCGTTTTTCTTCATATTTTCCCAAGCGGCCATTATTCCAATAGAATTAAGGCTTATTGTTAGTAACCTTAAGTCGACAGTTTAGCAGAACTATCGGCTCTTCAAGTGGGGATTGCAAGCAAGCAAGAATGCGCCTGTCGATGTGTACACGAGGTGCCTGACAGTACAGCACGAACGTTGAAAGACGATACGACCTTTTATTTACGTAAATATTTTCGGAGACACTGCTTCTCTCTCTTGAGTGTGAAATTCCTAGCGAGTTTTCCAATCATCATTATAGAGTGATCTGCCCGCCAAAGGTGAATCTGATCTTCAAGCACATGCATTGACGAAACAGGCCGAATACACGTGCAGGTAATAACGCGGAAGAACAATGCCTTATTATGGGTGATAAATTAAGTTTATGGAGGAGAGAGCTGCAAGAAAAAATGTAGGAATAGGCATAGATATAAGATTGCAGTCATCTTTTCTCTCTCTATATCCTGCCGTGATTCGTGATAGTATTTATAATCTCAATCTCTATTGCCTTTGTTTCTCTGAGCGACCGATGCGATTTTTGTCTTTTTTAAATTTTCGCACGCATAGAGATAGAGAGAGATAAAGATTCCAAAAAGGATGTAAAATTCTAATTTATAAATGTTCATAAAACGTGCACGCATGGCATCGCCCTTTCTCTTTCGTACAAAGGCATTTGGCGTATGAGATAGCATTCGCTCGTTTCCAGCTTTCTTCCGAATCTCTCTTTCTTTTTTTTTGTTTCTCTTTCCTTTGTTGTCTCCCTCTTTCTCTTTTGTTCTTCGCTTCTTTAGCTCCAGCTGGCACATATATTGCATTCTGAGATCATTCCAATTCGTGATCGTTAATTTCTAGCAATTCTATGAGAGCAAGCAGAAAACATGAGAGTTTACTAGGATATCCTCCGTCAATGTTATTATTTCCCCACACAGCAGCTGATTTCCGTAATCGAGCGGAAAGAGAGCCTGTATGGAAAAACCATTGCTATCTTCGAGAATATCAGAGCTCAGAAATATTCGTTGATATCTAAGATAAAATAATCTAATTTTCTAAAAAACATGAAATAACGATAATAACGAATAATATATATGGAAACTGACATTTGTTTCCGGATACTCTTATCGGAACACATTCTATGATTCACATTTTCGATAAAATTCTTCTCATGTTCACAATTATAGGAAGATATATTGTATGTATTTGTATTAGGAAGGAAAAAGGGGAGGGGGGATGTATTTTATCGCGATTAGCATTCTGATATGTAGTGACGATAGATATTAATAAACGTAAGATATTCATTTAATTTAAATCGAATTTTATCTCAATTATAAGAGAGCTTTAATAAATTGAAGAATATATTTTTCCTTTCCGATCATTCTATTAATCGTATCCTTCTTTTATTCTGCATTTTGCAAACAGAGAGAGAGAAAGAAAGAGAAGGCAATTCGTCGCAAATATCTTGTATATTTTCTCTCATATTCCTTAACGCAGTTCAAATAGAAGTCTCCCATGAATGGTTTCTAAGTTACGTTTATTTACTCTTTACAGATTTTTACGAGGGGATATTCCCTCGTAGAAATGCTTGAAGTGATCGATATCGCATACGAACATTTTGAAAGGAAGCCACGATGGCTTCGATGGAGCCGATAGAGTCGAGCGAAACAGGCGAAACAGACGAAACAGTCGAAGCTGCGCCCGAAATGTTATCTGAAACGGTCGACGATACGGACCGCATAGACTATCGATTCGAAATCAGGAGATATCATAGCTTCATGAGATGGGCCGTAGACAGCAAATTTCTTCAGCAATTGGCAAGCGCCGGTTTCTATTATACCGGGAAGGATGATAAAGTGAAATGCTTCGACTGCAACATCGTCATATCCGGGTGCATGGAATATAAAGATCCAAGGATGGAGCACAGACTAAATTCTCCAAAATGTAGATTCGTCCGCATGTTACCTAGCTCGGGGAATGTACCGATCGGCGTCGATCCGAACAAGGTTTCACGACGCGTGCCGAAAATGAAAGAAATATGCGAAGTAGACGAGTCTTATCTAATTCTCGATAGTGAGATCGAGGTCTACTTCGAGGACGCAGATGTCGTTAAACGAGTTGTAATCGGCGATTTGGTAGGCGCAAAGCATCCCAAATTTGCCTACTACGAGAGTAGATTAGCCACTTACGTGCCATGGCCGGTAACGGTCACCCAGAAAAAAGAAGATCTAGCGGCCACCGGTCTCATATGTGCAAACGACGGCGACAGAGTCTACTGCTTCTATTGCGATGGAGGTTTGGCGTGCTGGCAGCCGCAAGAAGATCCTATACAAGAGCACATCAAATGGTATCCCAATTGCAAGTATATCAACAGGCTTCAAGCGAAGAGGCAATCGTACAGAAGCAGTTTCAACATACGATAAGCGATAAATAAGCACCACTCTACCGTCTCCATCTGTTCGTTTTTAAATTTATATTATTTCCGTTTTATCGTTCACAGTATTTGTTCTTCCTTACATATACATATTCGTATACTTGTTATAATAACGCAGTATTACGTTTAAAATCGTATTATTTGTTTAAAAAGTAATTCATTTATTTTTTATATGTATAAAAAACAAAATAAAAATAAATTATACCGAAATAGAGATAGATTTCCGATGAAAATAAAATTTTCCACCAAAGCTAAAGATTTTTATTTAGGACATTATCACGATTATACAATGCCTTAACTAATTTGCCCAAAATATTATGCGCGTAAGCTATGTTAAAATTTCTAAAGAAAGTTATCAAAAGAGTGTAGTACAGTTTTTTGTACGATAGATGTATACATGTAAGAAGAATATGTTATGTATATAAGAATCGCACGTGCATTAAAAAACAGGACTTTTTTATCACAATAGCGTAGCATATAATGTCTGAATTGCCTATTGATCGACGATGGATAATAAGATAAAATGACTTTTTCGCTTCGATAGCTCCTCGCAAAAAGGCTTTAGATCATGTAGCGGGAACTGTGCATTTTTGGCAGGAAAAGAAATAAAATAAATACTACTGATTATCGATTTGAATCTGCCCAGTTAAAAAGCTTTAAAAACTGGCCGTCCACATGGATAAAACCGAAAAAGTTTACGGTGGCTGGATTTTATTTGAAATTGTTTGTCGTGTATGATATACCCTAAATTTTTTAGTACCTCCCAACAACCCCCAGGAACAGTTCAATGGACCAATGCTATGTTCACATCTGCTTTAGTACCATCCCTCTTTTTCAACCTACCACTGCCTACCATTATCGGTGCTGTGTGCGTGGAAGTTTTATATATATTTAAGGCAGAACAAATACCGATTCACGTATAAGAACAGCCCCGTCGATCGTTTTCATTTCCGCACATGCGCACACCTGTATCGCTAACATCTCTCTTCCTCATCCATGCAAAATAACACATGTTGATCGTTTTTCTTTATATCTTCTCAAACCGCCATCATTTCGATAGAATTAGGGCTTATTGTTAGCATCCTCGACAGTTCAGTTGAGCCACCGGCTCTTGATCAAGTGGGAATTGCAAACAAGAACACGCCGGTTGATGTACCTGACATGCGGGTACGACAGTACAGCATGAACGTTGAAGAACGGTTCGCCCTCTATATTATTTCCGGGGACACTGATGTGAGAGTATAAAATTGCTAGCGAGCGGCTTCCGTCCCATTCGCCAACGATCATCATCATAAAGCGACTTATCTGCTGAAGGTGTATCAGATCTCCAAGGACACCCGCAGACGAAACAGACGGAATACACGCACAGGTAAGAACGCGGAGAAACAAAGATATGCCTTGCTGGGCTCGGTTTCAATAGGGCAATTATGGGAAAAAGTGTAGGAATAGATAAAACTGCCGTCACCGTTTCTCTCTTTATCCTAACGTGACCTTAAATTTCATAGCTGAACTAGCTGAAAAGAAAAAAGACAAAAGTTACGTTGATTGCTCAGAGAGACAGAGACAGTAAATATCGAGACTGAATATTATTCGTGAATTCGTGTTCACTAATTCAGAGTTTATTTTTTTCTCTCCACATTGGAAAGAGAAAGATAAACTTTGAACTAATGAAGATGAATTCTCGCGATAGTATTCAATCTCGATATCTACTGTCTCTGCCTCTCTGAGCAATCAATGTGACTTTTGTCTTTTTTTTATTTTTGCTCGCATAGAAATAGAAAGATAAGTGATTGTAAAAAGGACATAATCAATTCATAAAACGGACACGCATGGCATCGCTCTTTCTCTTCCATATAAAGGCATTTGCTCGTTTCCCATCTATTTCGAATCTCTCTCTCTTTCTTTGCTTCTATTGTCTTTTTGCTCGTTGTGTTTCTCTTTCTTTTTTGCTTCTCACCGACTGACATATTTCCGTTGTATATTGTCTTCTGAAATTATTCCAACTCGTGATTGTTAGTGTCTTAGCAATTTTATGAAAGCAAGCAGATGTGAGGCTTTACTAGGATATTTTTCGCCGATGTCATTATTTTCCCGCACAGCAGCTGTTTTCCGCGATCGGGCGGAAAGAGCCTGTAGAAAACAACCGTTGTTACTTGAGAATATAAGAGCTCAGATTATTTTAAATGTTCGTCTCTTAATATCTAAAATAAAACCTAATTTCCTAAAAAACATAAAATAACAATAATAACGATCTATGCGATAGGCTATCTTATTTTAGATCACTCATATATCACTTATATGTATATCCTAAGAATATTTATATATATGTTAATTTGTTCTCGGAAGATCTTGCTTTTAAGTATATAGAATAAATAAACAATATATACATTATATAAAAAGGGTCTTGTTATAAAAATATGCTTATTGTATCTGTAACCTCTTTTTCTTAGCGACAGTGATATTATCGTTATTTACAAAATAGACACATTAGTTCAGTTAGATATTTCATATATTTCGACATGCCACAACAATAACTTTCTATCAGTAATAATAACTTCTGTTGATCACAATGACCTTTGTCGATAACAACATTTAATAGAATAAATAGATAAAATATCTAAATAGGTCTCGTCGATCTAACATTAATGTATAAATTTGAAACACATAAAGGTAATATGTCTGAGATATTGAATATATTGAAAAATATAAACATTTCCATAACTCTTTCATCAGTCAAAAATTTCATTCGATTGCATTTCCGAATACCGAATATATCTACGTGTGATTGGCAATATTTCATTATAAATAAGATAATTTTTCTAAAAAATTCGTCTTCATCGATACAAACAATTCCATGTCAAATTGCGTAATCTTTCGTAAAAATCTATGACGACGCTATATTACAAGCAGTTCTACTTACGTTGCACAACGACGTTTAAAAATGACATTTGTTTCCGGATACTCTTATCGCGCATTTCACGGAATATATTCCAGCATTCCCGATAAAATTCTTATTTCCACAATTATAAGAAATTTTGTATTCGGAAGGAGGGAGAGACATATTTTATCGTATTTGGCATCGCAATGTATAGTGACAACGTAGATATCTTCTGTACGAGATGAGACGTACTGAACACTCCACGTGAACGCAAACGTTAATTATGTCTATCCTGAAAATGTAAGATTACATGAGTATCAAGAAAAGAGATAGCTTCGTATATGTTAATATATTTTTATTTAATATCTTATTATTATTTT